TGTTTCTAGGCCCTGGAAAGTCCCTAGATGCAGGACTTAAAATTTGTGACCATTTTATGTATAGAAAAGCTATTTTCCACCTCTTTTTCTCTCTGAACCCCATTCAGTTAGACTCATGATACAGAGGTAGTCTGGCTTTATAGAGAAAGGGATACAAAAGACAGTCACAATGTTTTTAAAAACTCTAAAGTATTTTTAAAATGTTCTCTAGTGTGTGTGTGTGACATATCCAAAGTACATGATTGTGTGATGTGGTATTAAGATATGATTGGCACTCATTTGGGATGATCTACGCAACTCATTTTTGGCTTCACCATTTGTGAAGTAATTTCATCATCCCAAACTCATGTTGATTAAACCTTTATATCACATTGCAAGGCTCCTTGGGTCTCAGGGCCAGGGCGCCCCCTTCGACGGCAGCAGGAAATCAGTGTTTATGCCAGGTGGGTCGATCTGGTGTCCTGGATCACAGCAGGTCACTGGGCAAATGGTAGCTCAGGCCTCCTGGATGGTTCTAAACTGATAAGCAGTCTGTGGTTCAGACCTCCTGGCCTAGGGATTAGGGCTCATCCTAGGGTTGCCAACTTTCTAATTGCACAAAACTGAACACCCTTTCCCCGCCCCTGCTCCACCCCTTCCCTGAGGCCCTGCTCCACTCCTTCTGAGGCCCCGCCCCCACTCACTCCAGCCCCCCTCCCTCCGTCACTTGCTCTCCCCCACCCTCACTCACTTTCACTGGGCAGGGTCATGGAGTTGGGGTGTCGGAGGGGGTGCAGGCTCCATCTGGGGGTGTGGACTCTGGGGTGTAGGAGGGGACTCCAGGCTGGGGCAGCGGGTTGTAGTGTGAGAGGAGGTATGGGGTGCAGGCTCTGGGAGGGAGTTAGGGTGCAGGAGGGGTTTCCAACCTGGGGCAGGGGATTCAGCTGCAGGCTCCAACCGGGCAGCACTTACCTCAGGCAGCTCCCAGTCAGCGATGCAGCGGGACTAAGGCAGACTCCCTGCCTGCCCTGGCTCTGCGCTGCTCTGAGAAGCAACTGGCATGTCCAGCCCTTAGGCAGAGGTGCGGCCAGGAGGCTCTGCGCTATGCGTACTGCCCGCACCCACGGGCACCACCCCCGCAGCTCCCATTGGCCACAGTTTGCAGTCAATGGAAGCTGCGGAGCCAGCACTCAAGGCAGGGGAAGCACACTGAGCTTCCTTGGCCACCCCTGCGCCTAGGGACCAGACATGCCAGCCACTGCTGGGAATGCATGGAGCCAGGGCGGGCAGGCAGGCAGCCTACCTTAGCCCCACTGCACCACCGACCCGACCTTTAACAGCCTAGTCAGCAGTGCTAACTTGAGCCACCAGGGTCCCTTTTTGACCAGGCATTCCAGTCAAAAACTGGATGCCTGTCAACCCTAGCTTATCCATCCCCAAATGCAGGGCCAGGGGAAGGGAGTCCAAGGCCCACCCTCCTCCACCAGGTCCCAGCCTAGAAGCAATGGGCAATCCCATCACAGGGTCAGCAGGGAAGCGTGGGGTCATTGCTTTGTCTCCTGGCAACACAGTCAAGTCAATGTTTCAATTCCCTGAGTTACTTCCTGTGGGAGGCTGGTGGGGCTGCTCTGTGACCGCTGGAGCCTGGCTGCTCATCTCCATGTTGAGGGCTCACTCTCTGCTTCCTCTCTGGATCTCTCCATCTCCCAGGGAAGCGGCTGGCCTTCTCTGCAGGCTGGCTCAGGGGAGTCATAGTCTGCCCCAGCCAGTCGAGGGCTCTGCTGCTGCTGCTTCGGCTCCCTGAGAAGGATATCTGACTCCTTCCCTGTTCTGATCCCAAATGAGCTACAGGGCCCTTATACTTCTTATACTTCCTGCTACACCCCCATACTTCCTGCAATGGGGGCAGAGCAGGATTAGCTGAGTCCAGAAAGGTGGGTTAACCTCCTCTGTCCCGGAGTGAGGCCACTCTGCCTCACTACACAAATGCACCCCTCAAGTTTATCTCCGACTGGAGGTGGCAAATTCATCTCCCCCCCCCCCCCCGGGGAGAAAAAAATATGCCTTGAGGGTGCCTTTCCAGTTTCATGTCCAACTGAGAAGGCGTATGGTTGGAGGGTCAGATAGCACCTCATTAACCGTGGGTTGATCTCTTTTGCAATATGCAGCTACATCAGTGGGGAGCAGTCGGTCACTGGCTTAAAGGGAGCTCCCAGCAGATAATATCACAAAGCTCCTATGGCCCACTTGAAAGTGAAGGCCTCCTTTTTGATTACTGAGTAGTTCCACTTGTGGGGAAACAACTTTCAACTTATGTAAATCATGAGGAGCTGCTCTCCCTCAACTTCTTGGGAGAGGCCCACTCCCAGCCCCTCTTCTGAGTGTCGGTTTGAAGGATGAACTCACAAGAAAAGTTGCAGTTGAACAGCCCAGGTTCTTGCACAAGTAGTCTTTAAGTGCCTGGAAGGTTCAGACACAGTCTTCTGTCCAGAAAATTTGTTGGGGGCTGTCCTTCTTCAGCAGTACAGTAAAGGGGCTGCAATCGATGAGAAGTTGGGGACAGCAGCGGTAATAGCCCACGAACCCCAGGAACTGTCTGAGGGACCTCAACTTTACCAACAAGAGAATGGACTTGGCTGCACTCCTGGGTGTATTTTAGATAGGTGGTCTCTTCCCAGCCTAGTTTGCATTTGGCAGGATTCACCGTGGGCTCGGTGGCGCATAGGGTTGGAGGACAGCTGCCACTTGGTTGAGATGGTCTCCCCTGTTACTGCTATACATGACCACACTGCCCAAGTAGTTGGCAGCATAAGTGCCATGAGGTTGTAGGATGTGGTCCATCAAAGTGCTGAAAAGGTGACTGGAGCCCCATAGAGCCTGAAGGGCATCCTGTAAATTAGTATAGTCCCACTGGGGTGGCAAAGGCCATCTTCTCCTTGGAGACCGGATCCAGAAGGATCTGCCAGTACCCTTTTGTGAGGTCTAGAGTGGTAATGTAGTGAGCATCACCAAGCCAATCAAACAATTCGTCAACCCAGGGCATCAAGTACGCATCTAATTTTGATATGGCATCCATCCTCCTAAAGTCTATACAGAACCTGAGGGTCTCATCGGGTTTCAGGACCAGAATGATGGGGCTGTGCCACTCACTCTGGGACTCCTCAGTTACTCCAAGCTCTATCATGGCTTGGACCTCCTCCTCCACTGTCTCTCGCATTCGCTGCAGCAGGGGCCAAGTGTTCTCACTGACTATCTTTCCCGACACTGTCAGGATTGTGTGCTGCATGAGGGTGGTTTTTCCTGACTGGGCCCTGAAGGTCTTGGGGAAGGCTTTCAACAGACTACTGACTTACTTCTTTTGTTCATGAGTCAGAGTGTCTCTGATTTGGAGTTCCTCAGCATCAGTCGGGATGGGGACCTGTGCACCAAATTCCAGTTTGGGGTTATATGGGACAATCAGCAGACCTCCTCCAGATCCTGCCAGGGTTTCAAGAGGTTTACATGATAAATTTGTCATTTCTTTCTCTTGTCCAGCTACCAGATCTCATAGTTAATGGGCCCCACTTGGCAGATCACTTCATAGGGCCCCTGCCATCAGTTTTGACTGCTCAGAGGAGAGCAACAGGAGAACCCTAACCCCAGCTTCAAAGCCCTTTCCTGGGCCCTGTGGTTATAAGCCTTCTCCTGTGATTTCTGAGCATTGTAGAGGTTGTCACATAAAGCACCCATCTTCTCCAGATGGTCCCACAGTTGGAGGACATGCTGCAGGAGATCTTGCAAAGGGGAAGGTGCCTGCTCTCAGCTCTCACACACAGGTCCAGGAGTCCCCATGGTTGTCTCCCATAAAGCAGCTTAAATGGAGAGAACTTGGTTGATGATTGGAGAACTTCCTGAATTGCAAATAGCAAAAGGAGGATGAGCTGGTCCCAATAGCAGAGCTCCCTCGGGGAAACCTCCGGAGCATGACCTTGAGGTTCTTCAGCTAAACTGTCAATCTGAGAGTGATACACGGATGTCTGCATCATCTGAATGCCCAGCAGGTCACTGACTTGTTTGAGCAGCCTCAAAGTAAAGTTTGTCCCAAGGTCTGTCAAGATTTCTCAGAGGAGGCCTACTCAAGCAAAGACCTTGAATATCTTGGCCACGATAGCCCAGGCTGTGATGTTCCAGAGGGGAATTGCTTCAGGGAAGCGGGTAGCACAGTCCAGGATCACCAAAATGTACCTGAAAATGGTGAGTTGGGGATGCGGTCTCAGCATGAGTGTCTGTCCACACTCCGAGTCCATGAACACAGCAATCTGTACCCCATCGATTTCCACAGGGATCATCAGCTTACCAGAGGGTTGTATCCAAGCCTGAGCCTTCCTAGTCCAGACTTGTCTGAAGTCACAATTCATCGCAGGGCACTCTCAGCAGAGGTGGCCATAATGGCCTCAGGTGAAAAACAGGCTGATATCAGGTCTCTTGTGCTGGTCTCTAGGACTTGTCAAGAAGGTTGGGTTTGCAGGGACCCGGGTTTCCATCATTAGATTAGCGGGCTCTGGGGCCTCCTTGACGCTCTGGGCAACTGCTTCCAGTACATGGGATCACTCTCCACTTCTTCTCTGGGTCTCTCAATTGGTCCTGGCCACAGCCCTGCCCATTGTTCCTCTTTTGGTTGCACAGTCTGCCGATTGGGCTTTTGGCAGCCATAAAGTTCTCCATCAAGGTGATTGCCTCTCTCAGGGGCCCCGGTTCAAGGTGGAGGACCCATGTCCTTCCTTGTGTCAGTAGGATGTGAATAAATTGCTCCAGAATTACCTGTTCAGCAACCTCAACCCCAGTGTGCCGCTCAGGTTGGAGCCACCACCAGTAGGCATCCTTTAGATGCTGTGCAACCATCCACAGTCTGGCCCCAAGGGGGTACATCGCTCCCTGGAACCACTGCCAGAACATATCGGGCATAATTTCCAGAGTGCCAAGCACCACGCTTTTCACTTGAGTGTAGTCTTGGGCTGTAGCTTGCACTGAGCCTCTCAAATATGATGCTAGGAGGATGGTGCTGCCAAGGAGACCTGTTTGAATGTGACCAGAAAGGTCTCCAGGTCATCATCGAGCCCTATCTTGGTCAGACATATGGGTATATCAGGGATGCTCTACCCTGGGGCCAGGTGTCCTGGCAGCTGCAGCACAGCAGTGATCTGTTACAGGCATTGCTGCTGCAGCTCCTGATGCTGGGACCCCAATTCTCGAATCAGCTGCTGCTGTTTGTTGCCCAGCTGTTGGAGGAGCTTCTGTTGCTGGGCAGCCTATTGCTGTTGATGGCCCTTGGCAAGCCACTTTATCGACTTCTCTTTCTCCATCAGGGTGGGAGGGGGGAACTCTCTGCCTCTCTCCAGCCGGTGACTCAGGTTCATGTTCTGTCCATCCCCTCACCTCAGGGCTGGGTTGTTGCCCACATTCTCCACCACTTTTGTAAGCTTCCTGGAGTCTCAGGGTTAGGGCAACCCCTTTGGCAGCAGCAGCTCGTGCCAGGTGGGTCCATCAGGTGTCCTCGATCTCAGGAGGTCACTGGACAAGTGGTAGCTCAGGCCTCCTGGACGGAGCTAAGCCCGTCAGCAGTCTGCGGCTCAGGTCTCCTATCCTAGGGGTCATCCAGCCCCAAGTGCAGGGCTGGAGGTAGGGTAACCTGTGCCCACCCTAATCCACCAGGTCCCAGTCCAGAGCCTTAGAAACAATGGGTGATCCTGCCACAAGGTAAGCAGGGAAGAGAATAAAAATATTGCTCGGGCATGTAGGAATGTTATCAGGAGGGCCAAATCGCACCTGGAGCTGCAGCTAGCCAGAGATGTCAAGAGTAACAAGAAGGGTTTCTTCAGGTATGTTGGCAACAAGAAGAAAGCCAAGGAATGTGTGGGCCCCTTACTGAATGAGGGAGGCAAACTAGTGACAGAGGATGTGGAAAAAGCTAATGTACTCAATGCTTTTTTTGCCTCTGTTTTCACTAACAAGGTCAGCTCCCAGACTGCTACGCTGGGCATCACAAAATGGGGAAGAGATGGACAGCCCTCTGTGGAGATAGAGGTGGTTAGGGACTATTTAGAAAAGCTGGACGTGCACAAGTCCATGGGGCCGGATGAGTTGCATCCGAGAGTGCTGAAGGAACTGGCGGCTGTGATTGCAGAGCCATTGGCCATTATCTTTGAAAACTCGTGGCGAACCGGGGAAGTCCCGGATGACTGGAAAAAGGCTAATGTAGTGCCAATCTTTAAAAAAGGGAAGAAGGAGGATCCTGGGAACTACAGGCCAGTCAGCCTCACTTCAGTCCCTGGAAAAATCATGGAGCAGGTCCTCAAAGAATCAATCCTGAAGCACTTGCATGAGAGGAAAGTGATCAGGAACAGTGAGCATGGATTCACCAAGGGAAGGTCATGTCTGACTAATCTAATTGCCTTCTATGATGAGATTACTGGTTCTGTGGATGAAGGGAAAGCAGTGGATGTATTGTTTCTTGACTTTAGCAAAGCTTTTGACACAGTCTCCCACAGTATTCTTGTCAGCAAGTTAAGGAAGTATGGGCTGGATGAATGCACTACAAGGTGGGTAGAAAGCTGGCTAGATTGTCGGGCTCAACGGGTAGTTATCAATGGCTCCATATCTAGTTGGCAGCCGGTATCAAGTGGAGTGCCCCAAGGGTCGGTCCTGGGGCCGGTTTTGTTCAATATCTTCATAAATGATCTGGAGGATGGTGTGGATTGCACTCTCAGCAAATTTGCGGATGATACTAAACTGGGAGGAGTGGTAGATACGCTGGAGGGGAGGGATAGGATACAGAAGGACCTAGACAAATTGGAGGATTGGGCCAAAAGAAATCTGATGAGGTTCAATAAGGATAAGTGCAGGGTCCTGCACTTAGGACGGAAGAACCCAATGCACAGCTACAGACTAGGGACCGAATGGCTAGGCAGCAGTTCTGCGGAAAAGGACCTAGGGGTGACAGTGGACGAGAAGCTGGATATGAGTCAGCAGTGTGCCCTTGTTGCCAAGAAGGCCAATGGCATTTTGGGATGTATAAGTAGGGGCATAGCGAGCAGATCGAGGGACGTGATCGTTCCCCTCTATTCGACATTGGTGAGGCCTCATCTGGAGTACTGTGTCCAGTTTTGGGCCCCACACTTCAAGAAGGATGTGGATAAATTGGAGAGAGTCCAGCGAAGGGCAACAAAAATGATTAGGGGGCTGGAACACATGAGTTATGAGGAGAGGCTGAGGGAGCTGGGATTGTTTAGCCTGCAGAAGAGAAGAATGAGGGGGGATTTGATAGCTGCTTTCAACTACCTGAAAGGGGGTTCCAAAGAGGATGGCTCTAGACTGTTCTCAATGGTAGCAGATGACAGAACGAGGAGTAATGGTCTCAAGCTGCAGTGGGGGAGGTTTAGATTGGATATTAGGAAAAACTTTTTCACTAAGAGGGTGGTGAAACACTGGAATGCGTTACCTAGGGAGGTGGTAGAATCTCCTTCCTTAGAGGTTTTTAAGGTCAGGCTTGACAAAGCCCTGGCTGGGATGATTTAACTGGGAATTGGTCCTGCTTCGAGCAGGGGGTTGGACTAGATGACCTTCTGGGGTCCCTTCCAACCCTTATATTCTATGATTCTATGATTCTATGATTCTAGGGGGGTCACTGCCTTGTCTCCCAGCAACACAGCTGAGTCAAGGTCTCACTTCCCTGGGCTATTTCCTATCAGTGTCTGGCGGAGCTGCTCCACAGCTGCTGGGGCCTGGTACCTCATCTCCGCGTTGAGCAGCTCATTCTCTACTTCCTCTGTCAGTCTCTCCATCTCCCAGGGCAGAAGGGCCTTCTCTGCAGGCTGGCTCAGGGGAGTCATCGTCTGCCCCAGCCAATTGAGGGCTCTGCTGGTGCTTTGGTTCCCAGGGAAGGATGTCTGGTTCCTTCCCTGGTCTGGCCTCAATTGAGCTGCAGAACACTGCCCTTATACTTCCTGCTCTACCCCCATACTTCCTGGAAAGGAGGCAGGGCTGGGTTAGCTGAGCCCAGCAAGATGGATTAACCCATTGTGTTCTGGAGTGAAACCACTCTGCCTCACTACACACATTACTATATATTCCTTTTTCATATAATGTAAACCTCGGGCCTCCCCAATTTTTTTTAAAGGCTTGGTTTTCTAGCTAAATGGAATATTAGTATTAGAAGAATCCCCCAAACAAGGCTGTTTCAAGCATGTACATATATAATACACATATACCTATGCATGGTAGATATATAGATTTTTTTAATTGGAAATTTTCTGTCTCCACCTCTCTGCTCCTTTTTCCATAGTCTTTCTGTATTTGTTTTTCACTTCAAAGGCTCTCCACTCTGTTTTTCCTCTACTTTTGCTGATGGATTTTTCATTGACCCCCTCTCTTGTTTAAGCAGACTGCCAAATCAAAAACATTCAAGTTCAAGTACAAATTAGGAAGTGGTAGTGTTTTTTTAAACACTGCCGATATTTTAAACAAAATACATACACAACCTTTGATTCAGGTAAACTGACCTAAGATTTGGATAGCAAATCTATTTGAAAAGGAGAATGTGACTGTTAATAGTCCTGTGCAAACAATACATTCATCTACCTTCTAAACTTTTTCTCTCTCTACATTTAAACTGCATGTGTAAGAGACACTAGCTTTCCAATGGTGGTGGAAAGATCTGCCCTAGGATAATCCACCACTGCACCCAAACACAGACAGAATGGTTGGAAGCCCATTGCAAAGGGACAGGAACTCAGTACCTACAGGGATGGATCTTGCAGAGCACACAGGTTTGGGAAAGTTCAGGATCAAGGATGTGTTGAGGTCACCTGCTAACATTAACCAAGTCTGATAAGACAAGAGTGTGTCTGTGATAACTGCTGCTGGAAGACTGTTGATTTCAAAATGGTTGAGTCAGAATTCTACAGCGTTCAGAACATGAAGTGCATGCTAACTACGGCTGCTGTGTGTGTCCCAGGCAGGAAGCCACAAGTAGCAGAAGCATTTTGGGGCACTCAGGGTTATAACACAAGTGATGACACAACTTCTCACTAGTCTGAATTGCAGCCTGGAATGTGGGACACAGATACTAAGGAAACAGGATATAGCCTTGGCATGAGTAGATCTGCAATCCAAACCTGCTAAATAAAAGTTATTTCAGGCCTTCCAATATGCATTACAATATGATACTAAGTCATTATGTTGGCATATAGTGTGAGAACACATTTCTGCAGTGTTGCAAAATCATTGGTATGACATTCCCTGTTTCCGTGATTGTAAAGAACAAAGAAAACTTTAGAAACGTCTTGTGCAATGGAATAACTACTACATAAATCCAATAATGGATAAGGAGGGAAGAAGAAGAGAATTACTTTAGTTTGAAAGGTAATTACATTTTTATTTAAGTTGTGTCTATAACAAAACAAATTGATACTTTAAACAGTGATAAGTCACCATGACCAGATGATATTCACTCAAGATTTCTGAAGGAACTCAGAAATGAAATTGCAGAACTACTAACTGTGGTATGTAACCTATCACTTAAATCAACCTCTGTACCAGATAACTGGAGGGTAGCTAATGTAATGCCAATTTTTTAAAAGGCTCCAGAGGTGATCCTGGCAATTACAATCATCCTAAATTCAGTACCAGGCAAGTTGGATGAAACTACAGTACGGAACAGAATTATCAGACACATAGATCAACATGATATGCTGGAGAAGAGTCAACAAGGCTTTTCTGAAGGGAAATCATGCCTCACCAATCTACTAGAATTCTTTGAGGGTGTCAACAAACATGTGGACACGAGTGATCCAGTGGATATAGTGTACCTGGACTTTCAGAAAGCCTTTGCAAGGTTCTTCACCAGAGGCTCATAAGCAAACTACACTGTCATGGGATAAGAGGAAAGGTCCTCTCATGGATCAGTAGCTGGTTAAAAGATAGGAAACGAAGTATAGGAATAAATGGACAGCTTTCATAATGGAGTGCGGTAAATAGCTAAGCCCCCCAGAGATCTGTACTGAGACCTAAGCTGTTCAACAAATTCATAAATGATCTGAAAAGGGGAGTGAATAGTGTGGTGGCAAAGTTTGAAGATGGCGATCAGCTGAAACCTGAGCATATGAGCAAGATTCACCAACCAGATACCCAGGAAAGAATTATCTGTAGTAACTCAGATCCCACCCCATCTAACATCCCATCACATGCCGTTGGGCGTATTTACCAAGAATATTTAAAGATCAATTAATTGCCAAAATCCTGTTATCCCATCATACCATCTCCTCCATAAACTTATCGAGTTTAATCTTGAAGCCAGATAGGTCTTCTGC